CTCCCCCTCCCTCCCTCTCTCTCTCTCTCTCCCCCTCCCTCCCTCTCTCTCTCAAAGGCATTTGGCCCAACTTGATTGTTCACTAGACTTTATCTCCATCTACCCATTTACTTTGCTCATAAAATGTTTCTAAGATTCTAAAGCGAGACAGACCTACGCATTCTCCACGTTCCCCCTCTTTTTTACGTTTAGTTCTGGGATCACGGGTCCCCTCCAGCTCCCTCTGTCCCTCCACCTGCGAAACAACAGAGCCCCACATGCCCATCCCCCGGCCCACACGCCCTCCGCCTCTCACCGGACTTGTTCCTACCTGGTTTCACTGCCTCTGCTCTCACCACCTGAGCGGCCAGAGCGGCCAGTGCCTGTCGCTCCTCTGCTCTGACTCTCCTCGTAATTGCCCACCTCTCCCAGAGAGAAGGCGATGTCCTTACCGGGACTCCATGCCCTCGCGGTCTTACCTCCCCTACTTCCCAGGCCTCAACGGCCACTTTCCTCTTTGCTTTTTCTGCTCCGGCTCCACAGTTCCCTAACAGGCCACACTGGCCCTACCACAGGACCTTTGCACTCGCTGTGCCCTCAGCCCAGAATGCTCTTCCCTCTGATTTCCACTTGGCTTGCTCCTTTTCTCCTTAAACTCTCTGCTCGCCTGTCACCTTTCCGGTGAAGCCTCTTCTGGAACACTGAATAAAACTGCAGCCTGTCTTCCTTCACTGCTTCACCCTTTCTCTAGTCCGTGCCGCCACCTGACATGCTCTCAAGATACTAACTGTTGACCTTTTGTACGACCTGTATCTGCAGGCTAGCTCAGGAAGGCAGCAATTTCTGGTGTGTCCTCGGTGTCTGGGACAGTGCCTGGCACATAGTAGGCGCCCAGTAAATATTTCTTGAAAAAAAACGAATGAGTGAAAGTATAACTTGGGTTTATTAGCACAGTTTGGTCATGATGATAGACGAGAAGTTTCCTGTTTTAGCACGAGCGAAGGAAGCACCCATGCATTCAGCAAACTTTGTGAGCTCAGCACCGCGGTGCGCCGAAGGGTCCTGTTTCTTGATGTGTGCTCGTCTTTGAGAAGTATCATCAAGAATACTGTTATTTGGGGAAGCCGGGAAATTCGAACACTTTGATCATGATCCATTCATTGATTTTTCGAGAGGAACTTTTGGCGGGATTTTGACTGTTTGATGTACCTGATTAGAAAGCAAAGCCGTAAATTTCTGTTTCAAAAGCCCAAATCTCGATGCAGACGCCCGGTGAGGGGTGTCCGGCCGACCCCAGGGGGCTCCCCCGGAGCCGGCTGTTCATGCCGCAGGACCAGGCGCACCGGAGCGCAGCGCCACGGGGGTCGGTACGTTCGCGCGCCCGCACGCCCACCGCTCTACACCTCCGAGGGGCACACACGCGGGGCTGCATCACGACCCGGTGGCTAAACTCACTTCACAGTCAGCCCCGTCCAACCTCCGGCGTCTGGGACGTTTTCCTCCGTCTTCACTCAGCGGAGAAGGGTCACAACCCGCGCGGTCGCCGCCCGCGGCCCGGCGCTTCCTCTCTGCTCCCGCCTCTTCCGGGCGGGGCGGCCTCGTCGCGCCGTGATTTCCGGGGTCACACGCACATCCGGGCGTCTCGCAAGCACACAACGATCCTGATAATTGCCCCAAACACCGACTGCGGACGGAAAACCAGACACAGGGGATTCTTTTCATAAACACTGACGCAAGGTCAGCGGCGGGTCCCACCGGCGGGAGCTCCGTGCGGGCGCTGTGCACGCCGCCTCTTGGCAGCCCCGACGCACGGAAGGCAGGGGCTGTCCCTGCTTCACAGCCGAGGGATCCGAGGCCCCTTCCCAAAGTCAGGCTGCCGAGCGGTGGACCCGGACGCTGCCTCTGAGTTCATGGTCGGAACCGCCCCCCAGCAGCGCCGCCAGCTGCCCACCTGCGAGGGCGGTTCTGCATGCGGCGCCCGAACCAGCCCTGAGGGGCCGCCCCTGCCCTGTGGAGGCCGCCCCTGCCCTGAGGGGACGCCCCTGCCCTGAGGAGGCCGCCCCAGCCCTGAGGGGACGCCCCTGCCCTGTGGAGGCCGCCCCTGCCCTGAGGAGGCCGCCCCAGACCTGAGGGGACGCCCCTGGCCTGAGGAGGCCGCCCCTGCCCTGAGGAGGCCGCCCCAGCCCTGAGGAGGCCGCCCCAGACCTGAGGGGACGCCCCTGCCCTGTGGAGGCCGCCCCAGCCCTGAGGAGGCCACCCCTGCGACCGGTGCTTGCTATTGTATCTCCCGGGGCTGGAGTAACAAAATACCACAAATTGGTGGGGGCGGGGGGTGCTGAAAACAGCAGAAATCTGTCCTGTACGGTTCTAGAAGCCGGAAGTGCAAAGCCAAGGTGACAGCAGGGCCCTGCTCTGTCTGAGGTTCTAGAATCTGGTCCATGACACTCCCCGAGTTTCGGGGTTCCTGGCAATGCTTGGCGCTCCTCGGTTTGCAGAGCCATCATTCAAGTCTGTCTGCACTTGGTGTTCTGTTCCAGACGCCAGTCACTGGCCAAGGCCTGCCTCCATCTTCCAGGACCTCATCTCCATCATGCACGCGAAGACCCTCTTTCCAAATAAGGTGTCGGGTAGACATGAATGTGGGGGGGGGGCGGAGTACACTTAGCCCCAGTTGTATGTAAGCCGAGCCGGAAAAGGTCTTTTCACGAGGTCACGTTGTCCAGTTGACACAGAATTAAAATAAAAATAGGACACCCCGTGGTCTTCTTCCTTCTCTTACAGACAGCAACACTCTCGGGGGCCAGCCGTCTACCGTGCACCCCGGGAAAAGAGGATTTTAGTTAGAATACACCGTGGTGATACTTTTGCAGCAGGCGCCCAGAGAAGCCTCCGTGCTGAGCAACCGGGAACCCGGTGCCCCCCTCCTCCCCACGATTACGCACTGTCATTTGAGCCTCTGCTTCTCCACGCCCGTCCTGGAGCGTTTACATCCACAAACACGCACTCTGGATCAGACACAGGTGAGGTTTTCCCAAATTCCGGGATTCCTCAGGACATTCTCATTTCACAAGAAAAGCTGTCGTGTGACCCAAGCCCTAATCCCACCAAAAGCTTCCATGGGACTAATTTCTAGCAGAGCTATTGTCTTCGGGAAGGAGTAAACAGGGACCCTCTGATGGGGCTCACAGGCAAGGGGCTGGGAAGAAAGTTGGCTGTGCTACGTCAGCCTTTCCGAAATATCTTTCCACTGTCAGGCGTGAATTTGCCTTCTCTGCCGGTGTGAACACTTTCACTGCTCATCTCAAAGCAGTAGCACAAAATCTGCTTTCTTACTGGCCAGAATCTGCCAAAATGGAATTCTGTTCTGAAGAGCCCATGAGTGTTGAGTAATGCTGATGGATATGATATAATAGTAAGAGCTAACCCTGATGGAGTATTTACTGTTGATCACACGTTACTTAATTTCACCTTTAAACAGCCCTTGTGAGTCACTGACTATCATTATTCCCAACCTACTGGAAAGATAAAGTTCAGAGAGGACGGGAGACCTAAGAAGGTCAGACAGCTAAGAAGGGCTTGTGGGGACTGAGGCGGGGTTTTGTTGTAATGCGTGGTTGTATTTAAAAGAAAGTGGCAAAATAAGATAAAAACACAGAAGGAGGCCAACTGTAAGAGACTCTTAAATATAGAGAACAAACTGAAGCTCGCTGGAGGGGCTACGGTGGGGATGGGGGAAATGGGGGAGGGCGTTAAGAAAGACACTTGTTGGGATGAGTACTGGGCGTCCTGTGTAAGAAATGAATCACTGGGTTCTACCCCTGAAGCCAAGGCTACATGCTGTACGTTAACTAACTTGAATTAAAATTTAAAACATAGACAAAGATACTGGCAAAATCGCCATTGGACAAACAGTGTGATAATGATCATTTTAGACAGGAATCATCCATGGATGCTAAAACCAGTGGTGAAAGTTTGATGAGAAAGCAGACACTTACAGAGGCTCAAAGTATCACTTCAGAAGATACTAATTACTCACAGAGGGAAAGATAGCAGCTTTACAGTAGAGAGATCTGGTCGACCCACCTTCACATTCCATGATTTGCTCAATCAGCACTTACCACCTGCCTCAGAGGTCACAGAGCTGAATACAGCACCATCCTTGTCTCAAAATAATTGAGAGCAGCAATCAATCATCTCCGCATTTCTTCTGGTGCAGAGGATGTTTGAGGTCAAGCCAACTTTAATTACTTGTTGAAAAGATTAAAAGGGTAGTAGGTGTGAAGGGTGGGGGCTGATGTGTAGGGCAAGGTTGCATAAGAAACATGTTGTGATCTCACTCCCACTGGTACAAGTCACAACCTGGAGAGAAAATCCGGTGAAGTCAGGTCGACGCCAAGCTTTTCCTATGAAGAGTTGAGCAAACAGCTTCTCCATCAGGCCAAGAATGATTCCTCCAAGGACTTACACGTTCATCAAGGATTCCACACTCTCCCCGCACACACCACGAAGATTAATAACAGAGACTCTCTTCCATTTATCTCTGTGTCTTGAAAACACTTGGCCTTTGGTAAACTGCGGGCCCAATGAATACTTTTGAATGAGCTAATTCATCAAGTCACTGGCGCTACCTCAATTTGAATCTCAGCAGCTACCAGGCATCGTTTAGCAGAAGAAATGATGCAGAAAAGTTACGTCCAGGCAACAGATTTTTGTTTTGAAAAATGCAGAAAGAGTCTTCATTATACTGTACAGTTAGAACAAGGTGTCTTTAAACTCTGTTCTGTGAAACCGAAAGATGCTTTTGGAGAATATTAAATCACCCCTTTAGGGCATTTCCTATTTTGAGCTGATGGGAAAGTCCAGGCTCCAACCCGGTTTCTGTTTCTCTCCTTCTAGCTTCAAGTTCCTTTCTCGTTTTGTACCACAGTGTACTGTGAGGTGGGCATTTCCTGAGCGCTCGTTTACGTGTTTAACACATACTTACCGATCGCCCAGTAGGACCTGGCGGGTGCGTCAAGGAGCAAGACAAACCTGCTCGCAGGAAGCTTCAAGTCAAGATGCGGAAACAGACATTGAGGAAGGACTCAGAACTGTGGGCCTCGGACCCGGGGCAGGCACTGGGCTTAGGAAAAGGGATTCAGATGTTCCTTAGGGGTAAAGAAACCAATACTTATCACAAAGAGGAGAGGAGGGGGGGAGGGGGAAGGGGGAAAAGGGGGGAGGGGCTGTAGGGGAGGGGGACGGGAAAGCAGGGAAGCGGAGGGGAAGTGGAAAAGGGGTGGGGGCGGGGGAGGGAGAGGGAGGGGGACAGGGGAGGAGGAGAAGGGAGATGGGAAGATAGGGAAGGGGGAGGGGAGGAGGAAGTGGGGGACGGAAGGGGAGGGGGAGGGAGGGGAGGAAGTGGGGGAGGGAGGAATGGGGGATGGGAGGAGGGGGAAGGGGAGGAGGGGAACGAAAAGGAACAGAAGGAACGTGAGCTTCGGCATCAGACAAACCTGGCTTCCGGTGTGAGGGACCCTTCTCCCTTACGAGAAAGTTATCATTCCACTAATTAGTTAATGTCTCCTGGACCTTATTTTCCTCATCTTTCAAATAAGGATTAAGGATTACGAAGCCTATTTTTCAAGGCTCTGGCTAAGAAGTAACCAGTGGGTTAATTATTTAAATCTTAAGAAACCAGAAACAAGCGTTCAAAAAGGATATTTGATCAAAATGCATGTTAACACCTGCTTCCCCTTCTTACTCCAAATTTTCACAAATTATAGAAAGAGCATAATTATATATATATATATGTTTAAAATCTAAGATCTGTGGAGAACAAGAATGGTGCCATCAGTAGAAGGGAAAGTTCCAGAAATACCTGAAAATGGGAACCCAGATTGGTGGATGGGATTGATGGCGGGTCCGCGCCCCACAGGCCACCAGGAACACGGGTGTGAAAGGCGGTAGCCGTCAGGCGGCAACCCCGAAACGCGGGTGGGTTGGGGGGACAGGAGCTGGAAACAGGGAACTGGATTTGTGGGGCGGCTCTTGTTGTGTTTGGTGGGTGCAGCTATTGATTAATATTGGATGGGAATCAAAATATAAGTTTGAATACGGTGATTACTTTTTTTAATTTATTTTTGAGACAGAGAGAGACACTGTGAGCAGGGGACAGGCAGAGAGAGAGAGGGAGACACAGAATCTGAAACAGGCTCCAGGCTCTGAGCTGGCAGTCAGCACAGAGCCCGACACGGGGCTCGAACCCACGAACCGCGAGATCATGACCTGAGCCGAAGTCGGAGCTTCACCGAATGAGCCCCCCCGGGCGCCCCTGGTGATTGCTTTTTTAATTACCTTTGAAGATATAACTAGTTTGTGTACCTGCCACCACAAGTGCTAAAAAAGTGCTTTATGGAATAAATAAACCTTGCTGAGCTTAATTTGAAAAAGAAAAAGACACAAAAAAGAAACAACAGAAGCAGAAATATCCCGTGCATGAAATCAGGTGCTATTCCATCAATTCTGCGTAAACAATCAACCAATCAATCAATCAATCAATCAAAGCTATATCAACTTGGGGAAATACAGAAACTCAACATGCTGTCCACAGAAGATGCACTCATGACATAAAAGGTTTGAGAAAAGAAGGCAATGTTAATATTTGACAAGTAAATTCACAGTGAGAGGCTGGAGGAGAATATGTCAAAAGTACGATCATTAAGAAAACATCACAACCAGAGTCTTACGCCCCCAACGCAATGGGCCAGTCTTGTACACAAACTGAAATACACGTTTCCTCGGTAACATATGACTCAGCAGCACATTAACAGGGCAACACATCCTGCCAAAGTGGAATTTATACCAGAAGTTTTTTAATTGATCAAGGATATAAAGAAAGGAATAGAGGCTGTGAAAGAATAGGATCTTTTATTTATTTTTTTTTTAATATTTTTATTTTATTTCTAGGAGACAGAGAGAGAGACAGCGTGAGCAGGGGAGGGTCAGAGGGAGAGGGAGACACAGACTGAAACAGGCTCCAGGCTCTGAGCTGGCAGTCAGCGCAGAGCCCAACGCGGGGCTCGAACCCACGAACCGCGAGATCATGACCTAAGCGAAAGTCGGGCGCTTAACCGACTAAGCCTCCCAGGCGCCCCAAGAATAGGATCTTTTAAAAACCATATAGATTTTGCCAAAAGAAGCCCATGGAAATTCTAAGGTGAAGAAAACACAGTGGTTGAGCTAAAACACTTGCTGGACTGACTGAAGCACAGATGAAGTCCAGCTGGAGAAAGGGTTTCTGAACCAGACACAAAACCAAAGGCACGGCCGTGAGCCCAGAGACAGAGGCGTGGAGGTGCAGGAGGGCGCAGAGGCGGGTCTCTCTTCTCTCCTCCCCTCTCCGCAGGTGCTCCTCGGGGCTCCGTGTGGTGCACCGCACATCGCACTCAGCAC